GTCCTCTTGGTCTGCCATTTATAGAGGACACCTCCTCTTTCATTGAATATGTTAATGGGATTAGTCCCCTGTTTATGTATGCATGTAATGTGCTCATGCTGGCATTTTTACTTACCTTTAAAACGCCTGTTTTGCTGGTTATTCCCTATATTGAAGGTCTTCCCTAAGAGACCCCTATCTTGGTAAGCCTCAGTTAACAGATGCTTCTCTGAAGGTACAGATGATTTGGTTTTCATGTTAGATTTGCCTTTCCCCCGTCCTCCCCCAAAGCCAAGGCATGTCATGGGACCCAAGCCCTGTTGCTTGCAATGGGTTCATGGAGGAGAAATGCTTGGTGGCCACCAGTGGCTGTGGTCAGTGGCCATGGCCAACTCTGTTGGCCAGTACATGCTGGGCCACTTCCCCAGAAAGCGCTCCAAAGCCCTTTGTTGTGCAATGGAGATGTTAGGACAATTAGCTCCTTTCACTTGTAGTGTAACCTACATTCATGGACCATGTGTAGAGGAGGCTGATGTTCATCTTGTGGCATCAAGGACTTTCTCTCTGGTCCCAGCATGCTCTCTTTATTTATAAAGATTTTTCCAAGTTTAATAAGATGAAATTGTTCTGATCATTCGCTCCAGGCTTTGCAGCTTAATCTTGCTCATTAAAACAATTTAATGGCATCTGAATGCTTCGGCCAAGATCTTCACAAAGGCCTGCAGCAGCGTGCTTGAAACCTTGAGCGATGAGCGATGGCATCATCTTCCTCAAGAGAAGGGACCTGGTGTCTCCGGGAAGGCATTCCCTTGTGCCTTATCTCCAGCTGCATGTACAAAACATGTCGGTGTGTGCCCACCACCACCGTGGCCACAGGAGGTGGCACGCAGGGATGCCATGCCATGTTGGCTCCTCTGGCAGCTCTGCCGCTGTCTGCTCGGCTGCTGCCGTTCTTCCTTGGGCAGGAGCTATTTTCTCCGCTCGGGAGATGAGTCAGGTGTGGGGGCAGGTGGATGAAAGGGACGGCACCATAGATCAAGGTTATTCAGCCAGTCTGAGGGAAGGGGTGAAATTAGACATTCAGGATCTCCAGGCATGCTCTTCCGGCTGTCCCCGCTGTCTGTAGAAGGCCCTTTAATCCTAACTGAGGTAATTTTTAACATGGCCAGATGAAAACAGCCCACGTTGCCTCGAGCGGGCGGTGCAGGGGGCTGTTCCCACCGATGCTCCTTGCCTGGTCTCTTCCCATGGCTTCCTGGCCATGAGCTGGCGAGGCCGAGGGGAGCAACATCATGCCTGGAGGGTACAGCCCGGCTTTGCTCATGCCTTCTGGTGGCCTGCCTGTGCCGGCCAGCCTCGGGGCAGGAGAAACATCCCAGATCTTAAGTAGAGCTAGAGGTGGGGAGCAGCCTTTTGGTGGCCATCCATCTTCAGCCTCTTCCTTCTTGTTTCCACTGTGCCAACACTCCATGGGGTGTTGCAGGGCTTGAGGAAAGTTGTGGTCTTGGAGAGCGTAATTTGGTGGTGAAAAAACCAACAAAAATAAAAGGCAGAAGCAGAAACCTAGCATCAGTGACCTGCCTCAGAAGTGAAGCTGATGGGATCTTTGCGCGCCTTCCCGTTGTCTTCAGCTTGCTTTTCAGCTTTTGCTTATTTACTGCACATCCATGTAGATGGTGACACAGGCACTTCCCAAGCTGCCAGATGTTGGAGGCTTCAGATGACATCCAGAGGGCTCAGCACCTCTGGGAACGTGGGCCTGTGGCATGCCTGGGTGGTTTCAGAGGTGATGGAGAAGCATCTTGGTTAGAACGTGGGTAGAGCCCCAACTGACGGTGACCTCTCTTCCATGTGCAGAGATGGGATCCCCCCGTACAGAATTGGGAGCAAGAAGCAGCTCCAGCGGGAAATGCATCGGAGCGTCAAGGCCAACGGTCAAGTTTCTCTACCTCATTTTCCGGTAAGTTCAGGTGGGAGCTGCAGGGTTTGGTTGGCCATTGGGAAATGCTGCGACTGGCAATGGGCACACATGGAGGGAAGAGAGCAGGGGAGGAGACCGTTTCCATCCCTACGAGATGCCAGAGAAGAGGTGCTGCTTGGTGTTGGGCAGGAGCCATGTGCTGTCAGCATCCTTGCAAAAACCCGCGTGTGTAGTCACATTTTGGTCCTTCCCTGAAAACCAGGTGCTCATGAGGGCTTTTCAGTGGCACTGAATTTGTCCTCCTGGTCTAAATCCAAGCAGAGATGTCCCAGTTGGGACTAGTGAGAGCCTTGGCTCTGGCCACCACCCTGACACCTCCACCGGGGCTTGGCCTTGTGCACGTCGCTGGCGGCCTTTGAAAGGACACCATCTGTAAGCTGGTGGGAAGCAGGATCTCCCAAAAGAGTGACATTTGCAGCAGATACGTGCCTTGCTTTGAGGGGATCCGATCCTCAGCGTTGCTGTGCTCTCGAAAATTAACTCGCTGACTTGCTAATTCAGTTGACTTGCAGACTCCCCATTCCTGCAGTGAATAAACTGTTTACACAGACAAGTATAAACTTATCTTGTCTTGAGATTAATACGCTAAAATTCCTCTTTCTGCTGTCTTAAGCAGCAAGAAATCATAGATGATATTTCTGGTGGAGCGGGGTGGTGGTTTATGTGGTTTTTTTCTGTTTGGTTTTTTTTTTTTTACCCTTCCTCCCTAAAGAAAGTTCTATAGCCTGAGCTTGTAAATTAGATTATTTTGTCCCAGGGCGTGCAAATCGACTTTCTCTGTAAGGCAGTGCTTTGATCAGGGACTGAATAGAGCCAGCTTGTGTAAGAGTGACAATTTCCAGCAGAGTGGCCTTTTTCTACCCTCACATCATTTCTGGAGCTAAGTGGTTGCCGGAGAGAGGCCCCACCTCATCTGGTGGGTAGTATGTGAAAGAGTTGGCAGTTCAGCTTTCTGCTTTCGGGGGTGGGGTGGGTGAAGAGTGAGAGAGAGGATGAGTGGGGGCAAGGAGTGGGGTGCGTGGGGGTGACAGGAGAGAGGGCAGAGTCGGGTGGGTCGTTTCTTTTTCCTCTTTTTTTTTTTTTTCCCTCCCCTTTTCCTGCCATGTTTGCTTCTTTTGGCAGAAATTCACGTTTTGCCTTTTTATATTCTGCACTTGATTTGGAGATGTTCCCTTTTTCCCTTGATAGATCTGCTTGAGGCAGCCAAGCTCAGCAGTGTAGCACCGCTAGCCTGCAGCAGCTTTCTTCATTTTCTGTACAAAGAGATGGAGGGGGGGGAAGAGATCTAGGACACTGTTGAGACAACACTACCTCAAAGGTGCCCAGTGTGTAGCCAGGAAATAAATTACCAGCACTTCTCTGATCTGCAACCGTTTGACTTCTTTTTTTTTTTTTTTTTTTTTCCTTTTTTTTTTTCTCCTTTCCCTTTTTCTCCCCCATCTTATTTTTTTTAATTTCCAACTCCTTTCTGTTTATACTCACTTTATTCCTTGAGTTAAAGTCTCTCCCTCCCACCTCAGAGGTTTTTTTTTTTTTTTTTTTTTTTGATGTTTGACAACAGTCTTTGAAGATTTTCTACTTCAGAGTAGCTACTGATGGGCTGGTTGTACTACAGAGAGAACAAGCGGGGTTCCTCAGAGTGCGACCAACTGCTCCTGCCGAAGGCAAACGCTGGTGGGGAGGATGTCACTCCATGAGGCCACAGCACTAGCTCATAAAAATCCAGAGCAGACCATGCCTAGTTGCGGTTGTCTTTTCATCCAAACATGGAGACACAACAAGCGTAGCGGGGCCAGCGATGCCGCTCCGGCTAAGCGCCCGCGCCCCGCGCCGCCCGCTAAACATGCCTTGTGCCTTCTGTCCCCGCTCCTTGTAGAGGACCCACCGTCTTCCCAAGGAGATGACCCCGGTGGAGCCGGCCGCCTTCGCCGCGGAGCTCATTTCCCGGCTGGAGAAGCTGAAGCAGGAGCAGGAAACCATGGACAGTCTGGAGGAGAGGCTGCAGCAAATCAAGGAGGTAGGAGGATTAACCCTCCGGGGGCCGGGCAGAGCTCCCTGCGTGCGTTGGGGGGTGGTGGGAGGGGGCCGCATCCTGCCCACGGGGAGGAACGTGTTTTGATCACGCTGCGGTTCACGAGCCCATGGGGGGGAACGTCCCGGTGCATGCCTCACCGGCTCCCCGTCCTCTTGCATTTATTCCTTGCCATCACTTGGCCGGCAGGACGAGGAGAAGGAGGGCTCGGAGCTCCCTGCCAGCCTGCAGAGCAGTCGGGAGATGGCGAACCCCCA